CAACCAGTGCAAGTGCACGATTGTTAGTACTCTTTCCGTTTCAAATGTAATTCACGTATTAGCCTTTGTTGGGTTTCTGACTTTAATCGATTTCACCGTTTTTGTTTCTCTTCCTCCTTGTCTGCCCTCTCTTCGATTGTCCGCTGCCATCATCCTAACCGTCGTTCACCGTCACTCATGCTTGATGTCGCTGCCACCCCGCCTCGCCTCCCTGCCTTGCTCAAGACGTCCCACTACCGGAATCAGCAGGTATGCCGACGGTCTCAGATCGTCGGCATAGAATGCGTCAGTGTACCCTTGTTAGGCCGTCAGCATAGTAAAGCCGTCGGCATAGTTTCACCATCGGCAAAAAAAGGAGGAGACAACATTTGACGGCGATGTTGCGAAGTCTGGCCAACCAAGAGCTGCCACATGGCATGACTATGCTTACGGCTGGCAGCTCCTGATAGCTCCCGGTCGAGGACTATGCCTACAACATTGTTGTAGGCATAGATGCAAAACTATGCCATAGGCATAGTCCCAGGTCAGGAGCTACCAGGAGCTGTCATGTGGCATGTAGCTATATTCATAAATAAATAATACAAGTGATATTGCAAAATTGAATAAAATAAATTATATTAATAATAAATGAAACATTGCAATTATTTGGTCCGAATAAGAAACAATAGACTTTTATTAATATAAATGTCAATTACAAGCATTCAGGAATTACACTTGAGGAAAAATAAATAAAAGAAGGATAAGTCCTAAACTAAAGCTATACTAAACTATCTAGTTCTTCATCTCCTGCCTCTTTCTTCCAGTTCATCAACCTGCAAAACAAGAAACAACAAACAGGACAAACTTGATTAAGGTTAAAATGTAGCATTCCCCTAAGGGAAATGCCTTTGCTGTAGGAGCTAGCACTTACAAGTTTGGAAACATTAGTCAAACCCCAATCAAATTAAGTTGATCAAAGAAACAGTAGAAGAGATCCAACACTACGTAAACGGAGCCAATGGAACAGTAACCAGCAAGGCCAAAAGGAACAGGTTCAATTGGCAGCAAGGTATAACCCAAGACAGAAGTAGAGCCAGCAAAGTATGGATCAAAGCCAAACCCAAAGATCAACTCAAATTAGCACTAACTCCATGATTAGGGGATCCCTAAATTAAGCTTGGGTTATCACTACATGCAACCATCAGGACTAAACCACCGGTAGATGGTGTACTAAACCATACAAGAAATACCAATACATTGTATTTAGATAAAGACTAGTATATATCAAACACATATACCAGCTTGAAAGAGAAAATATAATTTTATACCACTATAGGGCAAATCATGAACTACATAGAGTAATTTCAGTAAAGAGATGAATCAGTATATCTTGATCAATAAGACAGTTACAGGTATATACAAATGAAGGATTATATCCTTTATAAGATAACAAAGAAACAATAGCACTTATACATATGAACAAATAGAACCAGCAGCCAACTAATAAAGAAACTAGTATGTGCTATATGACAAGAACAATAACAATTATAAGACCAAGATAATTGCAATGATAGACCAATAGTAAGGTCATGCAATCCTTCGATCCCATCATTGCAGCACTAGTTCAGCGACAAATCAAATATAACAGTAGTTCCATTGGTTCAGCCAACAAGTTAACACAAGTTTATTTCCCACTACTAACTTTGCAACTTGTGATAATAAAGAAAACAAAGCTCGACATCACAGCAACAAAAGTGGTAGACTGGGAGCCTGGAACCATGCACACCAAATCGCAGAGCAGAAAAATAGCAGTATTACCTGGAGCAATAAGAAACTCAACGGACTAGGGCAACATTTGGAAGGATACAAGCAAGTACTACAATAGTTAAGTCCCCCCTCCCCATCTGTCACCCCCACATGGGCGACCGAGGGGTCCCAACCCTCTGCCGCCGGCCCCCTCCTCCTTCCCGCTCTCCCCTCCACCGTCGCCGGTGGTCGATGCCGGGCTAAGACCGCATGTGCGATGGCGGCGACGGAGGCATCACCCTCTCACTCTGGGCAAGGGATGCGCGGGATCCCTGATCTCGAGGATGAGGCCCCGATCTATGGCAGTGGCGCCGATCTGGCCCACGGCGGTCTCGATGAGCGCAACGGCATGGCAGTCGGCCGGTTCCTAGGGGCGGTCATGGCGGCAGCCTGTCGATGCTTGGCCTGATCTGGGGCGGAGGCTGCTGGATCCGGGGCGGTGGCCCCTAGCCTGGCCTCCTCATCCAGGCGCGGCGGGGTAGGTGGGCTTCCGGTGATCAGATTGGGCGGTCGGTGATCCTCTGACGGTTTTCACGGCGTCAGATCTGGTGGTTCCCCTCTCCTACTGCATGTCTCATCGTCCCGATGGTTTGCGGCTGTAGGCTCCGGTAATGGTGAGCTCTGGTGGTGTACCTTGGGTCCGGGGGAAACCTTGGCCAATCGCCAGCGACGGCGTCGTCCATGGGCGTCGCTTTCCTTCATGAAGGCGCAGCTGAGGGCCCAATCTACCCACCCAGATCTCATGTCGGGTGAAAACCTACAATCCTCTTTGGATTTGGCGGCATCGGCGCTTCACGTCATGACCTTCCTAGAGGTGTCGCCAGGGGTCCTGGGGCTCAGTTGGGAGTGCAGAGGAACTGCAGGTGGAGGGGATGGGACCAGTGGCAGCATGTGGTGTTCGCGAAGGAGGTGCGGCGTTGCATCCGACACGTCGACAATGGCGGTTCCTGGTGGCATGGAGCAACGGGGACTCGCTGCTGAGCGTGTGTTGATGGATGAGCGCAGGATGGCGGCGTTGTCTGGCGTCATGGTGGCGTCGACGACAACTAGACCTGGCAAGGTTGATGCGTCAGTACAACTCTGAATATGGATTGGTGGCAGTTGGTGGCGGCAGCCTTTGAGTGTGCGCCGGACCGGTGGGTGCCCCATACCCGGCAGGTGGCTTGGTTGGGGCCTCAGGTCTTAGATGTTAGGTTTGGCTGCGAGGTTTGTTTGGTATTAGGCACAGACTATCAGCATCCCTTCATCAACTGGATAGGAGTAGCGACAGATGTTGTTGAAGGAAATATGCCCTAGAGGCAATAATAAAGTTATTATTTATTTCCATATATCATGATAAATGTTTATTATTCATGCTAGAATTGTATTAACCGGAAACATAATACATGTGTGAATACATAGACAAACATAGTGTCACTAGTATGCCTCTACTTGACTAGCTCGTTGATCGAAGATGGTTAAGTTTCCTAGCCATAGACATGAGTTGTCATTTGATTAACGGGATCACATCATTAGGAGAATGATGTGATTGACTTGACCCATTTCGTTAGCTTAGCACTTGATCATTTAGTTTGATGCTATTGCTTTCTTCATGACTTATACATGTTCCTATGACTATGAGATTATGCAACTCCCGTTTACCGGAGGAACACTTTGTGTGCTATCAAACGTCACAACATAACTGGGTGATTATAAAGGTGCTCTACAGGTGTCTCCAAAGGTACTTGTTGGGTTGGCGTATTTCGAGATTAGGATTTGTCACTCCGATTGTCGGAGAGGTATCTCTGGGCCCTCTCGGTAATGCACATCATATAAGCCTTGCAAGCATTGCAACTAATAAGTTAGCTGCGGGATGATGTATTACGGAACGAGTAAAGAGACTTGCTGGTAACGAGATTGAACTAGGTATTGAGATACCGACGATGAAACCTCGGGCAAGTAACATACCGATGACAAAGGGAACAACGTATGTTGTTATGCGGTCTGACCGATAAAAGATCTTTGTAGAATATGTAGGAGCCAATATGAGCATTCAGGTTCCGCTATTGGTTATTGACTGGAGACGTGTCTCGGTCATGTCTACATTATTCTCGAACCCGTAGGGTCCGCACACTTAACGTTACGATGACATTTTCATTATGAGCTTATATATTTGATGTACCGAAGATTGTTTGGAGTCTCGGATATGATCACGGACATGACGAGGAGTCTCGAAATGGTCGAGATAAAAATATCGATATATTGGACGGCTATATTCGGACACCGGAAGTGTTTTGGGTGATTTCGGAGAAAACCGGAGTGCCGGAAGGGTTACCGGAACCCCCCGGGGAAGTATTGGGCCTTAGTGGGCCTAAGGGGAGAGAGAGGGCAGCAGCCCAGGAGGTGGCGCGCCCCCTCCCATGGGGAGTCCAAATTGGACTA